TACTTATTTATTTATTGATTTTATTCCAAAACAATTAATGGTATGTTGTAAGTCACATGAAATTAAGCATATAGTGACATTTTGAGCCCATCAGTTCTGAATCGATAACACAAGTATATTTTAGACTACAACATATTGCTACTATTTTTCAAAGAGATCAATAATACTAATTTCTTTTTTTATTTTTAGTGTGTGTATGGGTTGACAAAATAGAATGGGAAAACACACACTATAAATGAATCATAGATCATGAAATAGTAAATAGGGTGATATTTTACCATAAAGTACATATTTAGGCTTTTTCCAGTTAGACACTTTAACAAAGGAAACAATTAGAATACTTTTACTCATTATTTTAAAATAAAATCGAACGTTATCAATTATCAGGCCACCAGAGGTCAGTAAATAAATGATGAAAGCATTAAGTGAAATCAGTAAGCGTACTACATTTTTAAAATACTGAACTGTACAAAAGTTGCATCAACAGAAGCATGACTGGAAAAGTGTTACAAAGTACCATCACTTGGAACCATCACTTTAAATCATAGTACACAACTTAAGTGGTAAGAAATTACGAGAGATTAATTTTCACATATTGATGATGCATTGACGATATTACACTCTAAATTCAAGAAGGTTAAATGCGAACTAAACTCAGATCTCTCAACAGTGTAACTGTTATATACCATAAAGCATAAAATTACATTATCTTATTTCAGTAGTCCTAATCAAACAACCAGATATTGATAATGAAAGTTCTATTTTGCAGAAATACACAATGAAATGAAGTCACTATAAAATTGGTCAATTAGATGTGGCATAGAATATATTGTCTGTCAATAGCCAATAATATTTGAGAGTGTCTGTACGTGCCAATTAGTAAATATCTGAGAGATATATAATTGAAACCTCATACAATAAAGTGAAGCAGCTTTTATCACGGTATATTATAAGAAAAATTCTTTTTTTTCAGGTTGAAAATTGTATAAACGTGAAGAAGGGATAGTATCACTTTACCTATGTGAAGTGGTCAAATGAACTTCACAAACTGGACTGGATTTATTAAACACATTGTATTTGGTGGGCACTTATTTTTATTAGTGACAAACAATAAATATTAAATAAGTTCATTTAATTTAATCATTTTAATTGCTGAGAAAAGTTTAGGATAGACAATAATTTATGGACGAACTAGTGAAATTGAGAATAGCAAGTCTTGGATTTTGGTGCAAAATTTGGATTAAAGCTGATGTCACTTCGTGATGAAAACTCAGACTCGAACTCCTAACCTTAACCTCTCATTCTAAATCTTAATCCTAATTCCTCGTACTAGTTTGTAACCCTCTATTCACCTTGTGAGTTATCTCAAGGTCACTTTGGCGTTACTCGAAGGTCGTCCACAAATTAGTCTCACTGAATTTTGAGATTAAAATGTTTCTTGATTTGTTAATAACCAACGAAGAACCAGTTAATGGTTCACACCTAGCTTATTTAGTGATATCAAATTGATAGTATATTAACTTCCACAACTTGGTCCTATTAAAGCAAACCTGATAAACTATTCTAACCAATAATTCAAGGTATATACTTCTTTTTAGGTTAACCTTTTTTAACCTGTGAATGGAGTTCTGGTGGAAATCAAATGATTAAATAGCGATTAATGTCTTTTTTCTATGTCACATAAGAATTAAACATGATGGTTATTTCTTAGCTTTATTACCACTTTAGTATTATTTAAATAGATAGAGAAAGTATTCTTCTGGGTAGTGGTCATATCTTTTGTATCAGTTTATTCGTCGGTTTGAGTTAATAATCCGGTCTTATTGAGTAACTATCATTCAACCACGTCATTTTATTGCATATTATCGAAGTTAACAATCTACAATTATTTATTGATTCTAAATGTGATTTCCTTTTAGTTAATATTTCAATAGTGTGAACTTTGTTCATTTAATTTCCGATACAATACTATATAATTAAATTTTGTAATTTTACATTAAAGAGACAATTATTCAGTTGATAATTCCTATAACTAATAATTACCGAATTTTGTCGATATGTGACCGAATGAACTTGAATATAATTGGACTGTTTTCAGGTCATTTGCCAAATAGATCCTTTTTGAACGATTACTTTTGGAGTAGTTAGGGCTTGGAGTGAAGTAAGTGGTTATATCTTAGTTCAAAGTGTCAATAATGTAGTCACTTTTACTGTGAGCCATGTCAGTGAGATCAACGCATATTCTTTTGTAACTTTCCCAAATGGTTGAATATGTCATACCCAACCTTAATATGATGATGAAAACTTGTAATTCAGTTGCATCTTCATAGCAGTGACCAAGATGATCCGAATTCAAAACCTTTATTGACATTTTAGACTAGCTACGAGAAATAAGATTTCAGAATCTATATTACTGGACCACATTTAATCATTGCTCTTTCTCCCTCGATAAAGAAACTAACAGGTCAGACCGACTGTTTAATGGACTAATCCCCTGTCCTATGAAGGTCTCTCTAACTTTCCTTCGAACATTGTTGCGCCGAGTAATAGTAGTTGGACCTGGCCAACACACATCTGTCACCTCAAAAAATAGTCTGTAGCTACGTTAATCGGATCCCTGTTCAAATTACTAATCTAGAGTAGAAATTTATGGAAACGTACAAGTCGACTATAAAACCATATAATGCTATACTTAGTAAATCTGTCATGTTTTCCTCTTGAACTTTTAGAATTCGTCACAAGCGAAGAAAGCACTATAAACACACATATCCTCAGTCCGTATTCTTAACGTTTGTACATTGATGATTATACCACAAGATAATCCAGAACCTCCTGATTTAATGAGTGACAAGAAGAGAGTAAGTTGACTTAATCATAACCAATTCGAAGCGTGAACCGACTCCAACTATTGGATGTGAAAATCCTGTAAGCCCTAACCAGGTGTTCCGCATGCGGAAATATGGTTCAGACCAGCTGTTAAGGAATTCATAAACTGATGCCTCCTCTAGAGTTCCAGAACCCATTCACGTCAGCTAAGATCGACCGTCTAGGTGGCGTCTGATCTGACGCAAAACATTTCCTAACCAAACCAGTTGTTGAAGATCCACTACCTTATTAACGAACTTGTCATCTTTATTTATTACTCTGCGTCTAACCTCAGGACCTCTTAATAAATGGTCCAAAAATACGCAAGGAATGTTTCAACTACACTTTTGGTCCAATACTGATAACATACGAACACTCTCAATTTTTGAAGGGCACGCTTTACAGTCATAATATGAAGCAGTGTGGGCTGTTAAGCAGTTTATTTATACTTTTGTTAGGCAGACAGATATCTCACTCAGGACATAGGTTGCCAAAAGCCAAGATTCTCCCAAACACCAGCTCCACCTCTCTGGGGCTACTGCCGGTCCCGAGTCCGGATAAAGGAGGAGTGTTTATTAACAACTGTCTACGCAAAATACTTCGGATCCCCTTGGCCAGATTCCATCAGCAACAACCTACTATGGGAGAGAACAAACCAGATTCCGGTGGAGAAAGGAAAATGGAGAAGCACTGGAAGTGGATAGGACACATATTGAGGAAAGCACCCAACTGCGTCACAAAGCAAGCATTCACTTGGAATCGTCAAGGTCAAAGGTGAAGAGGAAGACCAATGAACACATTACTCCGAGAAATGGAGACAGATATGAGAAGAATGGACAACAACTGGACAGAAATAGGAAGGAAGGCCCATGACAGAGTGAGTTGGTGAATGCTATTCGGCGGTCTATGCTCCATTGGGAGTCACAGGTGTAGGTAAGCAAATTATGTACTGTATTTGTCAGACATCTCACTCAGGACACGGATTGCCAAAAGCCAAGAATCTATGAGACACCAGCTCATCAAGACTGATGAAACTCCTAAGACAGGTAAAGTGGTCGATGCATTTAACTACTTTAATCCGTATTATCAGTCTGGGTGATGATGCCAGCCAGTTCTGAAGCAGCATTTCGGATTTAAAGGGAGTGGGACGCACCCTTATTATGCTTGTGCTGTTGTTAAAAGCGATTAGAAGACTCTTTATAATGTAGGCGACTCCACAACGCGTAACTGTTACCACCATATTCTAAATAAAAAAAGAATAATCCCTGAGAAATTGAGAACGTTATATCTATGGCGTCTGTAAATAAAAACGGAGAGTGGCCAGACCCGAAACGAAGAAGTTCACGTGACTAGAAATTCTACAACATGAATTCTTAAACTGAAAATTTCATTTCTTTTAGATATACACTAAAGCTTTTGAAATAATTATAACTTTTAGAGTAGCTACAAGCAATTGAAGCACCAAGATCCCGAACTTCAAAAAACACTGATGGTTAGGATTAGGTCACTAGCTTGAATTTGCTGTGACTCAGATTTTATTTTAATGTTCATCACTAATGTAAGAAAGCGGCTATATAAAATATTAAAAGCAAATCAACTGACGGCTAAACAATAGCTTTTTTACATGATCTACTTTTTACCGAGTAAGCCCACTTTACACGGAAATTCTGAATATATGAAGAACACTTCAACACGCTAACTGCAACATGTAATTGAGTCCAAATTTTCCAGCAAAATATACTTAGATCAAATCAGAATGGTGAGCAGATATAGTTCCGATTTCTTGCACTCGTGAAAATATATATTCAGCTATAACTACTAATCCGACTGTTTGTAGTACTTGTAATTAAGTTTATTAATCGAATTACGTCAAGCAGAAAAAAATGTAGTAAAGAAATAACATTTAGAACTCCCACAGATCAACTTTAGTGAAGAGAAACAATGAACAAAATAAACAAACAGATGTAATGAATAAAATGAAAATGAAAATAAGTGTGTAAACATAAACACACGAGTTTTTCTAATAAGCCAAAAATCATTTATCGTGATTTGACGTAGAAAAAACTATACTTTTAGAATGTTTCTTTTTTGTAATGTTTAGAATCAGTGCGTATGTAATTAACAATTAAATCAGATTAACAAGAAGAGTGAGCATTCGATGATGCATTATTAATTTGGGTATCATCCTTGTTAGTTGTTGTAACTGCTGATATCACACTAGTTGTAGTACTAGTATTAGTATTAGTAGTAGTAGTATTAGCCGTAGTAGCAGAAGTAATAGTCGTATTGGTAGTAACAGCATCAGCTGTAGTTGTATTGACATTTCCGTTGGTGTTAGAACAGTAATAGGGTGGAGGAGCGTAGGCATTTGCCGGAATTTTCAAGATATCCTAAAAGTTAGTGATGTAATATAGATAGGACAATTGAATAAAAGCTACTTGCTATTTATGAAATGTATTAGAATACGAACACAATAAAACTAGGCTTTCTATAGCTTAGTTGGTTGGTGGCAAAGATTAGTATGTCACTGATAGACCGAAGCTGGATATAAATAATCTCAGTGATCTAATTGCAAAGCATTTTTCTAAACAAGATATCCTCTTAATTCATTTAAACGAACGAAAAAGTCAGTCAGCTACAACGTAGGACCAAGCACACAAATGCATCGGTCCAAGTTGCCACACCCCATTAGCACAACAAGATGAACACCGAATTCATAGACGCAGTTACTTCAATGGTAGTAATATATAAAGGAAAGTTTGTGTGTATGAATACAGTAAAGGACCCGACCGTTGTTGCTACCTTGACGTGCTGGTCAGGCTTGCCTATCATGATGAACCAGTCGAGCTATACTGGCTGGAACAATCGTTAATCAAGGTCCTACCATGCCAGACAAATCAGTTGGAAAGCGGTACGACTAAAAGCAGCAAACCCAAGGTCCTAGAGTGAAGTCGTACTGCTAACTGTACAGAGGTGTGACGGCAGTAAGATGTTTCCTTCAGACAACCAGCATGGCAGTGATGCTGCCTTCCCACAAGGAGGAGTGGGCTTTTAAAAGGTCGACCGTGAAAATGCACACCTCGCCTTATCCCACGGATATCCATCTCCACCGTTAAGTTCTCAACAAGTACGGAGCTAACACGATAATTACCCACAAAAACGTCGCGGTTGACAGACATTAGGCAAATGTCCCCTTTGGCACTGCGATCACGCTCTCGGGTCACTAAGACCACTTTTAATCCGATTTCCATCTCAGGTAGCTCTAGAAGAACCCTTCAATGGTGTGGGCAACCGGGAAGTGATAACTGCCCTCATACCTCTAATAGCACTCAAGATCAAGGTATTCATAATCAATATCCCTTGTTAATTCCTATTATTCCTCCTACGTCGACTTCCAACACTAAACTTTCTCTTTCAACTCCCTCCTCAAGTGTCACCACGGACGAAACATCCGCGAAACACCGTCCCAAGTTTACTGAAACTGACTGACCGATGTGGTACAAGAAGAAACAAATAGTTCGTATAAAGAAAGATATTAGGCAATTTTAATCTCACAGTTTAAGGGAAGACAGATATTGTACACAACTGCTCCATTGTATTGGATTCTTAGCCATGTCACATAGAGTCTCCAACCATTGGTTATGATAGTCATGCGGACCCCAACCAAGTAGTCGGCACATACCAACATGTCTCAGACTCCAAGTTAGCGACTTCAAGGACCGATCACATGTTTTGGTTTGGCCGCCCCTAACCTTCCTACAACCATCCACAACACTAGTCAGCATTGCTCGTCGTGGTAATCGGTGTTCAGGCATACGTAACACGGGGCCCAACCGTCTCAGCCGATGAAGACTCACAACCTCATCAACTAACTTACCATCATTCCACAATACCTTGATTCTAACTTCACTATAACTTACCTGGTGAACCCAGCTGATACGAGAAATGTTTATGTGACATGTGACATGATCAAATACTAGTAACCTACAAGTATCTTCTACATGTTTCGCAGCCGTAAAGTAGAACAGAATGAACTGTCGTACAGTATACTAGCCCCTTAATTGATTGACCGATATCTCGCCCTCACGATGGCCGACGTATTGGCAAAAGCCAAACGAGCTTTTGAGTCCATGAAGAGATTTCGTCAGACACCAACACATTTGGGCAGATCAGACTTCCAAGATAATTTAAGCCGTCGACGCATTCGACTACTTCATTCCCTATTCTTAGTTCATGTGATCATCCAGCCCAATCCTGAAGCAACGACGTGAATTTCAAAATAGGAAGAAACGCATTGCAAACGTCTTGGCATTATTGCTCAGTGCCACCAAACACTCTGCATTTTATCAGCGTCTTCGCCAAACAGGACTATATCATCTGCGTATTCTAAGTCGGTCAGTGCACCTCCTGGTAGGAGATCTATTCCTTAAAATTCAGTCGACGAAGACACTATTTCCAGCAGTAGGTCTATAATCAAGTTGAAAAAATGGAAATAGTGGACAACCTTGTTCGACGCCACCAGAGGTTGCAAAATCAGATGACAGTTCGTCATAAGCTCTCACTCGATTAGTGGTGTTCGAGTAAAAGTCTTTCACAAGGTTTATGTACGTCTGAGATACGCTTTTCAATGAGAGACAATGCCATGGAACCTCTCGATCTATAGAGTCAAATGCTGCATCCAAGTCAAGAACAACTGTCGAGCGCAATAGCTCGACATCTACTTGACACCGAGCACAACATCAACATTCCGCATGCTTTCAAAATTATCAATAGACAAAGAAGTACGCCCACCCTCCGTTTTGCTGAAGCCATTATGATCAAAAAACTTAAATTGGACTAATGCATTCAAAAAGAGACTTAAATAAACTTATCACTACCCTGGTAACCATCTTTTTTGTTTTTTTATTTTAAAATATTTATACTCCTTCCCTATTACATAATTCTCTAACCACATTATTATTCACACATTTCCACCACTTGGTCCTCTCAAATTATCTTAACTTTTCAAATTCTATTTAATTATTATTGCGTAACCTATCTTATGATTATTCAATTCCATTATTACACCACCCAACCCGAATTAATTCCTTTTGACCTCTGGCCTGTTCATATATATATAGTTATTATTGTAACCCAGTTATTTACACTCATCTATGTCAATTGTTTTCACTCTATCTCAATGTAAAAATTCTATCACGTTTTTGGTTTGTAAGCAGTTGACGAGAAACCTCGAAATAATACGAATTCATACTATTCTGCACCAATATTTGTTATTGCTTTATTTCAGCCTACCATAGATTCGAGGGAGTAATGGTTCATTGGATTCCATTTTCCATTGATCCTGTTTTTGACAAGCTTGTTCAAAGTTCTTGAGATTTCGTTATCTATCATTTTGAATGGATTTGTCTATTGGTTCGAAAACTTCACTTCTACCCAAAGTTGGAGCCGATGATGTTCAGAAAAACAATGGAAGCTCCACGGTCAAACCATCTAGCTCAGGAAACAAAACTCACACAGAAAGAGCGGTTTTCAATGCTACTAAAGATCTACACAATCGTTACAGCTGACATAAGTATTTATGTACTCAAGCAAAGGAAGTTGGTGGGAAAAATACAATCAGAAGGAATTCGTTCAGTCAAAGAAGCCAACTTTTATGAAAAAATTAAAAGAAAGTTACAGCAGGATCGTTACTGACTTCTATTCTCTAGACAGTGTTGTACCATTTCTAGGACCTCAACTAGGGAGTCATGAAGGTCCAATAGAAGTCGACACTTACGTAGCTACCCAGATACACGAACTTCTCGACTCCTACTATCCGCTCACCACCCATGGTGAGTGCAGGTTAACAATAATTGCACGGCCACTTTTGTATTTTTTTTTAGTGAAAATTGTTTTTATCCCTTTTGAAAAAAGTTTTCATCCCCATCTTCCAATAATTTTCATTCTGTTTCGTCCAACCGAATGGTTAGTTTTGAGTTCGTTATAATTGGTCGTTTATTTCTTAAAATCGGCATAGAATGTCTGGACTCGATGACAGAGCACATCTTCTCCCAGCTACGGACTGTAGTAACGTACAAAACTCAAGCTCTATCATTCCTCACATTGTCGATAACCTATTCATCATACTGTATCTTGTAGCGTCTCAATTATTTGAAGAGCGGCGTTAGAACTTATGAAAGAGCTACGTACTGCCATTATGTGGTGAGGGATTCTCATTTCCATAGAGATCGGAAGCCGTATATTAGATTCGTATGTTGGAGAAATGGCCGCAGAACACCTAGCGGTTCCTCACAGCCGAGGAGACGAAGGGGGTAATTTGATTAGTGTTGTTATAATTTTTTATAAAGGACTTTCGTGAACACGCAATGTCCTTCCTTCCTATTTTGTAAGTTACCAACTGTCAAAATAACGTCAATATGAATGCAACGTTAAGCAATGACGAGGAAGAAATTGTTTCGATTAACTCAGAGGAGTTCACTGAACTAGACGACGACAATGACGAAAACGCGTATGACAACAGACTGTGTGATATTTGTCATCTTGCTCAACCGCCACATGAAACTGTTGATGGAAGTACCTGGATTTTTTGTCGATGCGATGCAATGTTTCATTTATTTTGTGCCTACGACCCATCACCACTTGTCCGTAGAATCCACTGTCCCATGTGCGGCGCTATAACGGAGTCATAGCAACTTTTTTGTTCATGAATTTCGGAACTGTTAAGGGAACGAGTAAAGGCCCTTTTCAGGGCCACCCACAATTTGGTTTAAATTCTTTTGTTTCAATTTCTTATTTCCATGGCAAAGGTCAAATGATGAAAACATCAAAATCCATTTAAGATTAACAATCATTATGTGTTTATCGCCCACGTATTCGTAAACGCTTTTTAAGCTTTATCAAACATACGGTTTAAGTAAACGATTTCGTATAGGAAATGTCATCTAATGAACACTCATCTGTCTAACGATAGTGTTAGGTTTGAAGTTTCACGAGTTCACTTAATCTGGGAACGAGAACAAGACTCGGTGACCAAAGACCAGTAATCTAGCTATTGATGCGTCCCAGCCTCGCTATCTAGAATGAGAAGTTCAAGCTTAGTATGGAAAATATATTCTGCAAACAGCCAGAAACGAGCGAGCCCACAAACACAGTTTAAAACGTATATATACAAATATATTTAATCAATATTATCATAGTAAAATGTTTTTAAACATTACTCATTAAGTTCATCGATCGACAGGCATTTAAATATTTAATCGATCAGTTCGTCAACTGACTTCCATTCAAATATTTAAACATTTAATCGATAAGTTAATCGATATGATAAAATTACAAATATGAATTTTTCTGGATACACCGTCCCCAACAAATAGTACATGCAAAACTTATT